CACTTTTTCACCGAGGTCAGTGTGGGCATGAGGAGCCAGGTCACAGGAATGCCACAGGCTTCCAGCTCCACTGCTACATCCAAGAAGCAGAGCTGCAGTGATCATGTGTGCTCCCATCTGTTGTCATTGTTTGGCTCTGCTCCACTGTCTCTCATCTGAGTTTTGTGCCACTGGGACAAATTATTTCTTGGACCAAATCTTGCATTCACAGGCTTCTGTGCATTTTGTGCCTGTTATGGTGGCTATCGACCTCTGGTTTCTGTAAGCCATCTTGAAGGGCTACAGGGCCCTCAGCCCTGCTCATAGCTTGCTTACCCTGAGGAACCCCTTTTCAAACAGTTTACTGGACACAAAATAAAACATTTCAAAGTTCAAGTCTATTCCTTTAATTTCACTATTATAGGATTATCACTAATTCGAGCTACTACCTTCCAAAACTAGAAGGACAAACTTCTAGCAGTGCATTTGATGAATGGTGTAGAAAAATGCAGATTGTGCCCTTCATTTGAAGAAAAACCTTCCTGTCTGAATGGAGCACTGTATTTCACATCCCAATAACCATATATTAGCACAGGATTTAAGGAAAGTTAGCTTTTCAGCTCTGTATAAGCTTTTCTATTCATTGAGGTTTCATGAGGTAGCCAAGTGCTTTTTCTACCACTAATTCCCAGCCACTCTAATGAGCAAATGTTCCTCCTGAGACTCAGCTCTCCCCTTGCACGTGATGATTCACTGGACACACAGTGAATTTAATTTGGAACTGGACTGAAATAATTTTATCATTCTAAAGTCCTTGAACAACCCAATCTAAGTGGACCTGCTTCAACCAGATGTGCTCCAGATGCCCCTGCAGACCCAAATGTTTCCTTGACTGCAGCTGGGATTGCCCAGCTGCTCTTGGGAGCAGACTTGCAGAAGTACAGACCAGACCCCTTCAAGGTCTGAAATTTGCAACCAGCAGTCAATGGAAACAGTGTGGGCTTTTCATCATAAAGTTTACACCATGGAAACATCTGGGTGTCCTGAGTTATCCTTTATCAGTGAAGCAGACAGTTCTCCCAAATAGTTTTATTAAAGTTTATCTCTCTCTGTTGGTGAATAGTGTTTAGTTTAAAATATCCAGTGCCTCCATTATTTTTGTGGAAACACAGCTATAAGCAAATGCAACTATAAATCAACTGACGGCTCAGACAGAAAAAAAACCCAGATCTGCCTAGAACCCCAGCAGGCAATGGAAGGAACTGTTTCCGTAAGTTTTCACTGTTATCTGACCAATGCCTTGGTCTTGACTTGTCAGAGACAATCCTAAAGATTTATCTCCATAGAAAACATAGCTAGTATGAGTAAAAAAAAGTGTTGATTCTCTCATGTTTTATATTGTGTAAAAATACATTTCCTATAGTAACATTAAAAACTGCCATGTGCTTATTCAGAAATAAGGAATTAACACTTATTTTCAGGATTTTTTTTTCTCACACACAAACAATGGTGTCCTCATGTATGTGAACAGAGGAATTCTCTTCCACAGAAAAGCCTCTGAAGCACATGCCCCAAATTAGATTTTAAGATTCAAATGTTAATATGTGTACTTGCAAAGCACTGCTGTGGCTAAAATGCTTTTATCATTTTATGTAGAAGCTACTGGAAGATTTTTTTGAAATAAGTGTATCGGTGCCAGTAAAGCAGTAAAATAGAGGAAAGATGTTTTGGACTTTTTAAATTATTATTACTCATGCTATATGAATCATATATTTAAATGGTGTTAGAAGGGACTAAGGCCACAATCCCATTGATTTTTATGCAGTTCCAAAGGCTTTTTTTTTTTGTAGAAGTTGGAGTCAGTTCCTTAAATCTGTAATAAATTACTCGAGAGCTCTTACTTTGGCTTTCTTCTACAGCAGTACAGACAGCTCTTTGTCTCCTTGATCAGAAAGGCAGCCTACAAAGAGCCATTTGAAAAATTCAACAGTTTGTCCTGATCTCAGCCTTTTACACCAACTTACAACTCACCCTACAATGTCAGTAATAAAGTGAACAAGTGAAATGATGAACTCCACAGTTAAAAGCACCAAGGACAGATTGGCAAGGATGCTGAGTGCTGTGATGCTGAGCACTGCAGAGCTAACCTCGAGTGCTCCGCTGTTACCTGGGGGTAAAATAACATGCTCCCCAGAGTGATGCAGAGATCAGGCTGCCAGCCAAAGTCAAAATCCCCAGGCATCCCCAGAAGAGGGAAATGTATAAAGCAGTAAGAGCTAAAGGAAAATTAAAAATCCAGGTCTTGGCACTTACCTTACTGGGCCTCTTTTGTCTCAGGATCCTCAGTCTCCAACTTTCCATGGTATTTATACACCTAAGTCTGGTGTTTCTGGTTCCCTGCAGTTATTTCACACTGCAAAGACTAAGGCCTGAACAGCAATTGAATTGAATAACAAATATTTACTGATTGAATTCAAACCAGTGTGCTAACAAACAGTATTCATAAACTGGAATAGTTTGGACAGCAGAAGCAGAGAGACCCAGTGACCCCATGGTGGTCCCTACATGTTATAGCTGAGGTGAATGGAAACACATGTGTGTATGGGAATATCCTCCTCTCCAGACTTGTGTGTCTGGATTTTTGGGATGCTGAGAGGCTATGTGAAGGGGAAAGCAGCTCAAGCTGCAGAGAGACTGCACTTATGGCATCAGCCTCATCTATGAGCTTCTGTTGTGCAAGGTGCGTTGACTGTGCCACAGCGACCTTGTGTGAGGCTGCCCAGGCTGTGCAGGAGCAGAGTGGCCATCTGGGAGATTTTAGTGACATTAAGTCGTGGATGTAACAACTCATAATATTTGCTGATATGTTTGTGAGGCCACATATAAAAGATAAAGGCTGTATCATATGGCAGGATGGATAAAATGAAGGAATCACTAGTTGATGTAATATGGATCATAGTCAGAGGATGCTCAAGCAAGTTTATTACCACTCCTTTTAACTACAAAATAGTTAAGGCAAAGTAGATCAGTAGTTCTGATTCAATCTGAGTACCTCATGAGCATTAGCAGTGGTTGGTGCCCTCAGAAGCATTTAAATATACCAGAAACCCACAGAGCATAAGACTACCAGATGGCAAATCTTGTTTGGGCTGAGGAAGGCTAAGGAAGATGATTTCTGTTTTCCAGATGGAAATGCACACTGCAAGTCAAATGAGTGCTACGAGCTGCACAATGCACTCACCAGAGCTCAAAGCAGATGTCCAACTGTTGTTTGCTAAGACTTTCTCTTACAGTGCTCCTCAGTTTGCTTCCTTTGGCAAAGCTATTCAGAATTTCAAAGCTTCTAAACCACACTCAAATATATGGTGAGCAAACCCAGGTGGGGAAATAATTGCGAATGTCCATGCAAATTTTGGTCTCTAAAATCCTGAGTGATTGCCTGAGGAAGGTGTCCTGTGCTGCTGCACTGTGTACTTCAGCTGCTGCACCTTGCCGGAGGAAATTAATTTTGTAATGCAGAGGTTTGGCACCCTGTGAAGGGACACACCTTAGCAACAGCCTGTGTTGATGCTGAGGATCCCCAGCCCTTGGTAAGGACGCTTGTGTGAACATGCAGGTGACACAGAAATCAAACATTGCCGCCTTCACAGAACTGCCATCAGCTCGGGCCAGAGGCAGCAGGGTTTGCTGACAGCACTGCACAATTGCTCAATGAAGCCTCTGCCTGCGTGTGCTTGTGGATGCTGACTGAGGCTGTCACCAAAGCAACTGTTACAATTAAGGATTTACATCATTCCATAAATTTTCCCAGCTGGTTTAGGAAACCATTATTATTTACCAGGTGTTTTTTGAAGTTGGCAGGGTATAATGCTGCCCTTCTTCACAAGGTAGGAGCCCTCAGCTCAGAGATGTGGCTGACGTCAGTCCCAGGTCGCAGGACAGCGTGTGACAGGGTGAATGATGGCAGTGTGACTGACCTGTGGTGTACATCTCACTTCACTGCTATTGTTCCACCCACACAGACATGGGAAGGGGAGAAAGGCAGATGTGGCTTCAAGTGCAGAGCCACATGAAGGGGTTCAGTCTTCACAAAAATGTGGTTCTATGCAGACTATTTGAATGACTCAACTTCTTGTAGCATTCTTTCCTGCAGGAGAAATGTGTGGTTTTGTTAAATACTTCAGAAAAAAAACCAACTAAAAATGTTGAAGCTTATCTCCCCCTTCTGGAAACCCAACCTCTACAAATTCCACGAAGTTTGCAGTATACAGAAGCTACCTCTCAAACATTTGTTGTTTCTATTTTGAATCCTTGAGGACATATCACAGCCTTTATTTTACAGTGATTTCATTTCTAGAATGATGAAAAGCAAAGTATGATTTTAAATGAAAGCAACATGAGACGGTTTACACTGGGTAGCCAAAAACTTTCCTTCTGTTACTAAACTGACAATGTTCAGTCCGGCAGTACCAGGTTTTTCGAAAAAGTCCAAAATCCCCTATTGTTCAGAAGGATTTTGTGTCCTTACCTTGACTTCTGTTAAAATGAAATCTGAGCGATGCCCAGCTGATATTGTATCACTGTTTCCCTTCACGGTGAGTCTGGATCCATCCCGCTGTGGCGTTAGGCGGTTTCTCGCAGAGACAGCTCCTTCACGGGAAAGGGGTCCCCGAGTGCCGAGCAAACACCTGAAGACGTGGAAGGGAACAGCCTGGGGCTCCGGGAGAGCCGGAGGGGCTCCGGGAGAGTCGGGAACGGCCCGGCAGCGCTGCCGCCGCCCGGCATCGCCCGGGGAAAGCTCGGCGGGGCCAGCCCGAGGGGCGGGAGCCCCCGGCCCGGTGCCAATGGCTGCGGGGGGGTGGCTCTGCCTGGCCTGTCTCGCTCGGTTACAGGATGGAAATTCCCGGCCTCCCCGGGGAGGGAGCTCTCTGCTCTCTGAAAGGCTCATTTATCCCGGCGCTGCCGCCCAGAGCGGGGGACCCGGGCTGCAGCTGCCGCCGGCCCGGCGCATCCCCGCATCCCCGCCCCGCACGATGCTGCTGCTGCTGCTGCTGGCGCTGCTGCTGGCGGCGGCCCCGCCGCACGGCGGCTCCGAGAGCCCCAAGGGGAAGCAGAAAGCGCTCCGCCAGCGGGAGGTGGTGGACGTGGTGAGAGCGGGGGGCCGCCAGCGGGGCAGGGGCCGGGAGGAGGTGTTGGGGGAGCCGTGCGGACGGGGGGGTCGGAGTAGCCACGCAGCCGCTTTTTTTTTGTTTCAAAAAGATGAAAAAAGCGATAGATCAGAGGCTTTCGAAAAACCTCGTGGCCGCTTCAGGCAGGGCAGTGCCGGTGCCGCGTTTCTGGGCATCTCTCGGTCCAGTTAATTACGCCCTTGTTGCGCTGAATCAGGAAAATGCGGAGAAAGCGCTGGACGGGCTTTGACACAAAGCGCAGAGTTTCGGCGGCCCGGTGTGTGTTCCGGTGCTTTCCCCATCGGGCCAGGGTCGGGGATGGCGGCCGGAGCCGGCCCGGTGCCGGGGGACATCGCGCCGTGGGCTCGCTCCTGCGCTCAGCGCACCGCATGGGCAACGCCGGAATCTTACAGCCCTTCCAAAACAAGCAGTAAATGCTGTTCAGCTCCTTCCAACATAAGCAGATAACTGCTGTTTAGCTCCTAAAATGCTAGTGGATAAAAAGTAATGAGAAAAACTATCTGCATGCTCTGAGAACTATCTGCGTGCTTAGCGAACACGCTTTTCCTCGGAGTCGCATGAATACATTATTTCCTTTGGTGGTAGGGACTGCACACCACTGTTTGCAATTCCATCGCTCCTAGAAACCTGAATGCATTGGAACTATCCCATCTGAAGGACAGATGATAGGAGGGAAATTTTCCAGTCCTTGGAATGTAGAAAGCAGATGTGAAGGTATTTCTGTGAGCTGCTGGAGTGCTGTTCACCTTCTGTAGAAAATCAGTGGTAAGGCCATTTCTTCCATGATCTCCAAAGAGAACCCCTAAAGTGATGTGCTGGAAGCACCAGTGCTAGCAAAGCTCTTTCCCTTTCATGCTATTTCATTGCCTTTTCACTTTTATTGAAATTGAATTGCATTGAGAATAAGGAATCTGTACACATGGATGAGCTAACATTTTCTGAGCAGTATTTTAGGGTCCCTCATTTCTTTGAAATTGCTTGGTGCTTTTTGGGTGCAAGAGTGAGCAGCAAAGTGGGTAAATCACTGGCAGCTGACTCATGCACAGCCCAGCTGTACAGACTGCTTCAGCAGAAGCCCTGCCAGGGCAGAGTGGAGGCTGGACTGAGGGAGGATCCTGCCTTCAGTGGATGTTTCAAATGTTTTATGCATTTCCAGCTTAAGAAAGCATGAAGAAGGCTTGACTTGGCAAGACAGACGATTTTAGTTGGAGTGGAGCCCAAAGTCCAGGTGATTCTTGTGCTCCCATTTTTTTTTTTGGGATGTGCCATAGCTGAGATGCTCTCCCTGTCTGGCTGTGGGTGGCAGCTCCTCTGTGAAGGCAGGCCAGCCCCTCTTGGTGTCTGGGGATGGGGGGCAATAGGCCAGAGCTCTGGCCTGTCCCCAGCTCTTGCCTGTTTCCACATCCGTATTTCTGTGGTTGGTGAACCACACACAAAAGGCAGAGCCAGTCACTGTTACAAATAGAGTCCAGTGGGAAAGCAACAGCAAAACCAGATAACTGTTGCTGTGTGAAATAGGAATGTCTTTGCACTGTTCTCCCAGCTTGGTGTGTGCTTTGCCAACCAGCCTTCTCTTCAGCTAACTTTTCTAAAATGTGGTTTTCTTCATGAAAATATTCCAATATTTCCACTGCCTTTAGCCAGCAGGGTTTTCTTTGGTGAAGGTAGTAAGGGAAAGCTAGCAAGCATTAGCCAAACCCTCATCTGACTTCTTACTAGACCTCTCCATATAGTCACTGATTTTACTTTTGGTGTGGCTCCAGCTAAGCCTGTGATGGCTCTGCCGGTTTTTGCACCAGAGCCTGTGAAAAGGCACAGCCTCAGTGAAGAAAATTCATCTGTCTGACAAAGGAAAGAGGGCAGGGGCTGTAGTTTACAGCTCCTGCAGTGCAGACAGGGCCATGGATGGCATGAGGGGGAATAGCTGCAGCACTGTTTCTTTTTGAAAAAGGTAGGGATTAGGTGGTTTAAACTAGGTGAAGACAAATAAATGTGAGAAAGTGGAAGAGCAGAATACAGCTATCTGTGAGGATTTGGGATGAAGACTGGAGGAAGCAGTCAGCCACCAGATGGGAAAGAGCACACAAAGTAAAAGCCATGGCCAACCCCTGCAGGCTCCTGCTCAGCATTTCAGTGCTGGCTGACACCGCCGCTCCTCTCACATCCCAGCACCCAGGCTGCTGGGGGAGGGAGCCCTGGCCTTCACAAACCTACTCTCCAAGGTGGGCAATCCCAAGTCTCATAAAGCATGAAGGTGATGTGCATTAACATGGAGTTTGGGAGAGCAACTTCTGATCTTTCCTAATACTGTGATGTTAGGAAGGATGTTAGTGTGCCCTCCTCCCACATGTGCCTTACCACTGTGACAAACAGGGTTCCTGAGTTCAGCTTTATTCCAGGGTGCAGCTTCCCACATCTGTATCACCACCATCCATTTGTGTGCATACTGGAGTCTGAATTGTGGGGCTTGATTATCATGATGTGGTTGTGTACCAGAGAAGCAGTGACAGAAGAAAAGTGGCATTAACCTCTGCTCTCTATGAAATGGAAAATTTTCTTTAAAAACAAAAAAATAAGAAGGAAAAATAATACTGAAAATGTATTAGCACAGACAGTTACACAAGTAATGGTGGGTTAGGAGAAAGTAACTATTAACATGTGACTTTGTTTTTTGTTTCTGTATTGAAATCTTTTGACTCTTCTGAGGTTTTCTAACAGATTTTAATTCTTGGACTAAGTCAATTTTTAATTCTTGGATTTATGTATCTTTTCATTAAGAAAAGGCCTACTATTTTACAGCAAATTCTGCTGGCACTTATTATCTTTGAAAATTCATTATTTTTTTTTCTTTTGTGGAAACATTTTCTCGGAGATGCAGAAATAGCCCATTGTGGCACAGCAGGGGATTTGTGTTTTGTCGTTACTCATTTGTGTTTGACTTGGTTAGCCTCGGAGTTAAGGGCTGGAAGCAGCAAGATCTGTTCTGTCTTCCAGTACAATGGCATGTGCTTACAAGGCCCCAGTGGCGTTCCTGGACGGGATGGAAACCCAGGAGCCAATGGGATCCCTGGGACACCTGGGATCCCAGGACGGGATGGGCTGAAAGGGGAGAAGGGCGAGTGCATGCGTGAGAGCATCGAGGAGTCCTGGACACCCAACTTCAAGCAGTGTTCGTGGAGCGCACTTAATTACGGCATCGACCTTGGGAAGATCGCGGTAAGTCAGCTCTGCCCAGAGGGGCTGCAGCAACCACAGCAGGCTCCAGGTCTGCCTCTGTGAGCAGCACCAACCTCACAGATTTCCTGCTGGGACCTTTTTCTGCATGCAAGGGTGAACTTCTCAAAGGCTTACCTACCTTGGATTCTCTCAGCTGTGTTTCAGCTATGTGCCTGTTTCATTTCTGGAATAGGGTTTTGGAAGAATTTTGTAGCTGGTGTAAGACTACATTTAGTAGACCAGATCTGTAACTGTAAGGCTGAAAGTCACAGTACCAAAAAAGTACCTCTAGCTTGCCCAAAACAGGGCAAGGATTTTACCATTTCAGTCCTAAGGAGGGATGTACATCTTTGATCTATTAATTGTACCTGTCCTTCTAGCGCTTGCTTCAAAGTGGCTGCTCACTGAACTCAGTTGCAGGGTGCTACTGCAAAGGATCAGCATTGCTCAAGAGCAGAATTGCCAGTGTCACCCAGACTGACACAGTCTGTCTTCCACTGCAGCCCTGGGTGTAAGACTTTTAGAAGAAACCCTGCTCAATCTCAGCTATGAAGCAAAGCCCAGAGTGATTATAGCAGTTTAACTGCTGTGCTGTGGCTAGAGGGAGAAACAACTTTTTCAGTAGACTTTTCCTGCTGCCTGGTACTTGCAGAACTGTCCCCAGCTTTTTTAAAATTTCTTTTATTTCTTTATTTTTTTATTTTCAATCTCCATGACATCCAGCATTTTTAAGACAGGTTAACTACCACTTAAAAACCTGAAAGTATTTATTTTTCATTTGTGGAGCTTTTATTTGGTATAAACTGCTCAGAAATCTTGTAATAATTGTTAAGTCCTGGATTTCTGTTAGCAGAGACAGAAACTGTGCTGTCTTGTCATGCAAGGACTTGGGGGTTGGACTAGATGATCTTCTGAGGTCCCTTCCAATCCTTATGATCGTGTGATTCTGTGGCTTGAGAGCAGCTGTCAGAGAGCTTATATCCCTTTATATAAATCCCAGAAGGTAACTAGGCTACCAACTTAACAGCAGGTGTTATCTAAATAAAGTCCAAAATTTCCATAATCTGTTTCTCCTTTGCCATCTATGAGGTGCTGTTCTGATTTGCATCTTTGCACCACAAGGGATTTTCCAGGCTCTAATTATTTTTCATTTTTATTCCTCAGAGGGGACTAAAGAGAATAGCCAAAACATTTTGAAATAAGTATATTCCTAAATCTGTGTCCTAAATATAAACATACAGAAAACAAATGGGCTCCCACCCAGAGGTTTGTACCAAAGCACCTTTGTCTCCTGTGAACAGGAATGCACGTTTACCAAGATGCGCTCCAACAGCGCTCTCCGCGTGCTCTTCAGCGGCTCCCTTCGGCTCAAGTGCAGGAACGCCTGCTGCCAGCGCTGGTACTTCACCTTCAATGGGGCAGAATGTGCTGGGCCACTGCCTATTGAAGCCATCATATACTTAGATCAAGGAAGCCCAGAGCTGAATTCTACTATTAACATACACAGAACTTCCTCAGGTACGTATGCTGGGAGAGCAGAGATGGAGAAGGCAGCAGCAGTCACCAAAGGCAGAGTGCCATCTGTCCCATGAGGTCAGAGGACTGAAACCAGGCAAAGAGTGGCCAGCTAACATTTGCTCCTCTTACTCTCTGCCTCAGAGTTGACTATAGATCTTAACAGGATATTTATTAAGTGGTACTTTCTTGCTGTGGTATTTTTTGTGGTACTTATATCCTGAGATTTAGAAATGGAAGACATTTCTATCCAGACAGGTCTATTGATCTCTGCCACAACATGAATACAGAGACATTCTGTGCTGTACTAGCCTATGGAGAAAGAGTCTTGCTGCCACATAGACTGTGTCATCCTGGCTTAAAATAACTGATATTTGCACATTATCTGTGCAGAAAATGAGACATTCCTCCTGTAATTTTTACTCTAATTTCAGGTGGGGCACAAAGTACCTCCAAAGTGAAATATCTGGGAGCAATTTTTCATTTGCTTACCAGAGGCAGATTAGTGAATTAATTCAACATAGAAGGATGTGACACTAAGAAAAGGGAATCTAAAGTCTGTGTCCTTTCTCCATATTCCTCCCTGTACTGCATGACTACATGAAATCGAATGTCTAGAGCTATGCCAGAATTTTTTCAACGTAGGGGTAGTGCTGACTGGTCTTCATTACCCCACCTCCAACTAGTGGTGCTAGTTGGGCATCAGGAGTGGAACTTTATACAGAAGCAGTGACTTCAGGAGTGGAAAAGCTTACAGGGTGGCAATCACCTTTACAGGGCTTAGCCGTAAACGAGGCATGGCTGTGCCCCCACCCCCTCCCAGAACTGCTAGTAAGATGTCTGGAAGGGTATGAAGCCATATTCCAGCTCCCAGAGAGTAAATCTGGGTATTTAAAGCAGAAGGTATACCTCCCATTTAGCCATCCTGTGGACTGTGATCTGCTTCAGCTACTGCAATGAGTGCCAAACAGCAGCATGGACACAGGCACTGCATGGCTGAAACTGATGTTGCTACATCTCTACATAATAGTTTTTATTTCTGAAATTGTTCTGAGACTCCAAAAACTGTTCACATTTGACTAAATAGCACAAGTTTGCAACAAAATGCTGTTCTTAAGTATTTGTGTCTACCTTCAGTTGTGAAATACAAAGGGATTGTGTCTGCTGAGATAACTTGATTTTTGTCTTTAACCAGTGGAAGGCCTGTGTGAAGGGATCAATGCTGGCTTGGTGGATATTGCCATCTGGGTTGGGACGTGCTCAGATTATCCACGGGGAGATGCTTCTACTGGATGGAATTCAGTCTCCCGAATCATCATTGAAGAACTGCCAAAATAACTTTCCTGCCTTTTATATAATACCCTTTTTATTTTTTTTTTTTAAATTTTTTACTTTTTTTACTTTTTTTTCCAGAGTTTATTTCAGTAGAGTTGGATGCAAGTACTGGACTGAAAGGCACCAAAGCCTTGCATCTGTAGCCTTTGTCTTGTTTTGCACATAGCAGAGGCTTTTTATAATAATTGTTTTAGACTACAAATATCAAAACCAAGTTCACTAACGTTTTAAATTTCTTCTTTGATATAATACCACCACTGTTTTTAGAATTAACTGTAACTTTTTGTATCAAATAAATAAGACCTTTAAAAAAAAAAATCCATGTTATTTTATTGAACATTAATCTGTTTAAGGTATTTTACATGGTGTTATGCTACATGATTCTTTTAGATGGCTTTATAAAGTTCTAAGAAAGCAAAATCAGGTGTTAGCTTTAGCCTTCAGAAAACATACATAAAATTCACTCCTGTAAACCTGACTGCAGAATAGGATGCTCCACTGTTACAGCCTTGTTTTTCAACAAACTCCTGGTGACTTAACTGTGACCTGGACAATGTGGTAAGTGTTAAATACCTCATGATGAATAACTGAGCAAAACCAGACTATCTAAGCTCTCCTTCCCTCTCTTCCTTCTTGATAGACTGGATTTCAGTGTAATATCTATCACAGGTCTCCACCACTAAGATGGAGACACTAAATAATTTTACAGTTACACTTAATTTCATTGCTCCAAAAATTCTCATGGGTTTAGCCTTTCAGCTGTATAGAATCACTTTGGTGTTGGTTTAAAGCTAGATATATTGAACAGTTTAGAAGAAATAAAGCAAGCTGAAATGCCTAGGCTTTCAAAAAGAGAACTGGTAAAGTGAAGCAATGATGTTATAGCTGTTTGACAAGTGACAACACCGATCATGCCAACAAACCACAAGCTTCAGTGTTTCTAAGTAGTTTCTTCCAAAGGCTGCAAGCAACATACTCAAATATTTTTAAAAATTGTACACATTCTAAAGAGAAACAACAGTCACGTTTGCATTACAAAATCAATTTTACATTAATGAAATAACAAAAAACATGAAAAGCATGTACAACATGCAAAAATCTCCACTCTTCTGAGAAATTAGAAGGAAAAAACCCCTTAAATCTGAGATAATGAATTTGTTTCAGCTATTTAAGATTAAACCTCATCTTTTCTGAACAGGCTGTAAGATTTCCCCCAGGCATCTTTCAGATGGGTAGCTCTTGCCTGTAGCTGTTGTTGCAGGTACCAGGGGAGGATATCTGCAGTGAGGGGAGCACTTGGGCTTGCCCAGCTGCAAGATGGCGCATGAGATTTACTGCAAGCCAGCAAGTTACACAGCTGGTATTCTGTCTCTGAAGAACTGTAATGTTTTCACTGGCTTGGATATGGTTTTAAGGTATCTGAACACAAACAGGTTACTATGAGCTGAGCTGTGGTGTGAGCTTACAGAAGCTCAGTTAACTTACAGTGAGGGATTGTGCGCGCGCTCGCTGCCCGTCTTTGCATTTATCCCGAAGCACGAGTGAGCAGTCCTGCTCCCACAGCACACTGAGCCAGGGCAGTACATGCAGAGCTTTTTCTCGTCTCATGTTTTCATAGTCTTCACAATATATTTTGGACCCTGGGTGGTAGGGTTAACTCAGTGTTCCATTAAATTCATTCTGTGTACCACAAAACACGCAAGCCCTGGTAAGCACTCTCCAAAGGCAGAAGCTATGGATCTACATAATTTACATGGTAAACTTCCAGTAAATTTATCTTCAGCTAAATACACATGGAAGCTTGTGTAATAAAAACCAAAGCAGCCATACTGGCCCAGATGAGATTATTCCTTCTGATGAGATTATCAATTGTATCAGTAGAGGGGATGGGATTGTGGAAGAGAAAGTGTAAATTATTAATGAAGTTAGTAATACACGAAAGGTGGTATGTGGCAATAGTATCTACAAAAACAAGCAAATGGATTGCTGAACAAAGATTCAAAATACTGAGTAGTTTCTGTAGCTTCACAGATTTTAACTTAAAATTTAAACCAAGTCCCTAATCCGTTAAATTTTTATTAAAAAATGTTCCTTCTCCTCTAGGTTAGACTGGTAAACAGGAAACTTCCCTACGTGATGGTTCTGCTCCCTATGTAACTGATGATTTCCCTCTAACTGCTGGATATAGCCTTTGCTAACTTATTTCCTAGTTAAATGATACTTACTAGATACTTAATATCTTACCCCAAATCACCAAACCCAGAACTCTAAAAAGTACATATCCTTGATGGCAATTATTGGTGTGGAAAAAAACCATAATTATTATACAAATTTACTGAGATGTACTATGATTTAATTTATCAGTAAGTTAGCAATCAATATATTAACAATCTTTTCCTTAAACCAAATCAGAAGACATTAAATAGACTGTTCTGGTTTTCTTGAAAAAAAGTCCCATGCACAGGATTTTTCTAGACTAGAAACCTTTTTTTCCAGCAAGTATTATTGAAAGTAAGCGTGGTCTTATTTGTTATTACACCGCTTTGAACACTGCATCACTATGAGATTACAAGGAAAAAAATCCTCATTTATAAAATGTAAGACCACTTTCAAATATGCATTTACTTAGTAATATTTGGTCAGATGTATCATTAATGTAGATAGACTGGCACAGAGAGAGATGGAAAGAGAATGAAAGACAGAAAATGAATTAAGTAGCCAGCAATACATGCAGTTTTAGCACATAGGTCTGCTGCTAAAACCAAGTCAAAAACCACAGTGCAAGTCTGTCCTGGTATGAGACAAGAACCGAGTTTCATCAGACTTGCAATTATTCAAACCCAAGAATGGACAGCTGTTTTAAAAAAACAATTTCAGTTTCCAAACTGCACCCCACTGAGGCAGCATTTTTGTGTTGGATGAGCAGTGGAGTCTGGAGCATTCCATATCCTAAAATCTGACGAATAACACAGAGGTGGATCCAATGACATTCCTTGTTTTAATGAGACTCAGAGATTTAAGGAAGTTTTGACAGGCCCAGGGTTGCTTTTGTATGAAGTTTTCCACTTGTGCAGGAGCAGAATCTCACCAACTGTTGTTGAGACTTGCTGAAACTGTTTAGTGGGTTATTCCAGGCAGGCCAGGATGAATGGAATTGCTGTGCAGCTGCCTTCACCCAGTGACAGCACTATTATTTCACAGTTGCAGACATCTGCTTCAAGCAGACACAGCTGATTCAGAGAGGAAGGCAGCAATGCAGGAACATTCAACAGGAGAGATGTTGGCAGGGTTTATTGTCTCCACATTCTTTCCTCAAAATACTGGATCAAGTCACAGTGTCAAAGAAAGACTGTTGAACTAAACTCCTCTCAGATCATAAATATAAAAAATAAAGTATAGATTCCTTCCTAGGAACACAAGTTCATACTTTTAATTATTTTCTTTTCTAAAACCAAGTAAAAAGCCAGACACATTTTCATAAACTACAAAGGTAATACAGCAGGCAGGAGTCACTCTGATCACATTAGGTATAATTCCTTTGTAAAATCCATGAACACCTTCTTTCCTTTAAAGAAAAAAAAAAAATGTGGCTTTAATGAATGTCTTTTAATAGAAAAAATCAGACATAAAACAAAGCCTGGCATTTTATTTCTCACACTCCCCGAGATCTCTACTGAGAGATGTACTTCAGGTTAGAAATAACAATTTCAGACAGTTTGAAGTGCATCAAGTATTAACCCATCATTTTTTCTTCTGAACATATAATAGGGTTATGTAGATCAATTATTTAGCCTAGGCTTTGAGTGTTTTATGTGGGTATTGTCTAAGCAGAAAGGCAATTTACTATATTTCTTCATGCCACAAGAACTGACTAAACAAGTAAGAAAAGTCAGCATTCATTTTTTGAGAATTTAAGCACCCCCTCCAGAATTTTGATTCTACTGGCCTAAAAATGAGAATCTAATGTGACCCAACTTGAGTCAGTGTGTCATGCTAGGGCTGCTTCAAAAGTCTTAGAGACATTAAATGTCAGCTCTTTAGGTGCAGGCCTCACAGACCTAGGACACCTGGAATGATGAGTAAACAGAGATCCTGAGAAATGCTTGGGTGTGGTTTACACTACCCTCCCTAAGTCACATTTGTTTCATTATGAGCACAGTAGTGGCTCCAGAATGGCTGTACCACACTTTACCAGAACTAATAAGCCTTCCTGTAGCCTACAGCACTGAAGGGCACAGCACTGACACATCAGAGCTAGTTTTGCTCTGAATTGCCTCCAGTCTAAATGGGTTGTACAGCCTCTGAATCAGGGACAACACAGCCTCAGTCACTTATTGAGCTGGCACCTCTTCACAAGATTCCATTCCCAACTCTGCTGCAACCCAGAAGCACTGCCCAAAGCTGTGCATGGACATGCAGAGGGGGTCACTCTTACAAACTACACAGGTCTGTGTGAAAACTCTCCCCTGCACTGTGGAGCTCAGGGAAGGTTTGTGAAAAGACATGAATAGGTGTGAGGTCACAGGACTTTAAAGGTCCTACAGGAAGCTGGGACTGGACTACAAATGCAGTCAGGCCCCAGGGTAACCCAGGGACACCAGTATAATCAGCTCTGGCTAGCTCACTCCACCTTGCCAGGAATTTGGATTAGCCACAGCTCCCAGCAGCAGAATGCTCCTGTCCCATGTGATAAGATAAAGCAGTTCAAGTGAGACTTCATTTAGTGTCCCAAACCAGCCATGACAATGCTATTTTTTACCCCGTGAAATCTGCTGGAGAAGAGAGAAGGGAGACAGAACAAACAACAGAAACCTGCAGGGGGGCATTGACTCTCTGCTATCTCCTCCTTAGCTTGCTGCTGTTGGTGGCATCTTGCACAGTATGATTTTGTACAACTAACACTTTCTTTGCTCTGAACTGTACTGGTTCTGCAAGTCAGCACAGAAGCCAGTAAATGTAGCTCTGACTCTGTAAAATTCATTTTCCAACATGCATGCTTTAACTTTTGCACACCTACCTCCATGTCCTGCGGATCACATCGAACACACCAGAATATGTGTTATGCTGGTCTTGAAGACGAGCTCGCACAACTTGATAGGGATATGTTGCTGCCACAGCAAATATTTTGGATACAGCTGCCATCATTATATATTCCACAGTGTTCTAAAAGCAACAAAAATTGTCAGGCTTGCCTTAGGTATGGTTTAAATTGGCCAGTTCCCAAAATCTTGTTTGATTTTTAAATGTACAACCAAATGATACTCCAGATTTTTCCCCTCTAATAATACAACATGTTAAAAGAAATGTCAGTGTTTGCT